CAGGCCGGGCACGGGGGCTCGAGTGAATCTTCTGCCCCGAGGAAGGCTGCACGCAGGCAGATTTCCCCCCGCGCCCCACCCAGTGGCTGCCCTGGTGTGGCAGGTGCAACCTCAGGGGTTCTGGGCAGAGGCCCCCAGCTTCCCTGTGGCCCTGCGCGCTCCTGGCCAAGCCCGGCAGCCTCTCGGGCTCCAGCAGGTGGGGCCTGCGCAGGGGTGTGGGTTGGGCTGTGGAGCGGGAGCCAGTGTGCCCCACCTTTTCAGGGCGGAGGGGTGTGGGGTTGACTGCCAAGGGGTTGGTGTGTCCGTGGCCCTGCGTGGTAGGTGTGTGCAGAGATGGGCTGTGGGCGGGGGGTGTGTCTCGGGGGGTGTGTTTGGGGCTGCTTCCTGCCGCTCCTTCTGCCCCACTACTTCTCCTGAGCTCCAGCCCCTTTACTGGCCAGGCTTGGGTGGAGCCTGTGGCCCAGACAGACCCTTGGGCCTAGCCAAGACTCACCTAGGCCTGCCCCTCAGCCCAGGGAGGGAAAGGGGACACCTGGGTCAGGCAGTTCTGCTCTCCACAGGCCTTAGCATCCATTTCATACCTGTCCAAACTGAGGTTTCTGGGCCAGGGACCCCCCTTGCCCCCACGGCTGAGGGCTGGCCTGGAGCTGGTCGGGCTGGGTGCCCACGTGCCCCGCAACGTCGGGGTCCACTTTTTCACGCACCACCTCTGCAGAACAGCTCCTCACCCAGCAATTACAGAGCTGGGCTGGCCAGTACTGCCAGCAGGGAGTGGGTGGGCGGTACCAAAACTTGGCAGCGGTGCCAGAAACCAAGACAAGGCCCAGATGTAGGGGGAGGGCTCAAGGGAGCCAAGCTGGGGTGTCTCAGAGGGAACCTGATCTCTATTAGCTCATCCCTGCCAGGCGAACCAGTTCCGGTCCCCAAGCCGGCTTGGTGGCTCTGGGGCCAGCTGATTACAGGTGCCGCTGTAGCGGCTGCCGCTCCCGGGCAGCTCCTCCCTCCAGCCGCCGGCAGGCCCTGCCACCAGGACGCCCAGGCGTCCAGTTCTCCAGAGCTGTGGCGAGCCCCCATACCGGGCGCCCTGTCCCTGGTTCCTCCTGTGCTCAGCTCAGACAGTGGCACACCTGCCAGCCACCTGCTGGGCCCCTCAGTCGTCAGCCTTGAGTGAGTCTAGCCCCCGAGTCACTTACAGTGGTGCCCCTCTGGGCCTTCCCCCTGGACTTGGGGTGGGCCCCTCCCTGCGCCCACAGCCCCAGGTGCCTCAACCAGCTCGCTCTGTGCAGCTGGAATTGTCCCTTCACCTCTGTCTCCACTGGGCTGCAGGCCTTCGTCAGGCACAGCCATGTCTTGTTTTTATCCCCAGAGCCCTCTGGCTCCAGCCCCAGAAGGCACTTGGGGGCTTTGGAGTCAAGAGAGACCAGGCCTCTCCCCTGACTGGCATGGGTTTGAGCTGGCGATAGGGCAGGGACGGCGGGGAAGCTTCCTGCTATGAGTGTCCATCCCTGAGCACCTGGTGCCAACCACATCTGTCGGGCCCCAGGCCCAGGTGCCATTGGCTGCACTGTGATGTACTGCTGCCCGCCTCGGCCCGGCCTGGTCCCCAGGCGAGGGAGCCCAAGCGGCCATGGTCTCTGCCCTCTCGGCCCCTCCCCGTGCGGGGCGGGCGAAGGAGGCGACACACATGTCCATGTGGTGACCAGGCCAGAGGAGGATCCAGAGAGTGCACTCGGTGGTCAAGTCAGCGAGTGAGGACTGGCCGAGGGAGTGGCCTGGGGGCGGGGGCAGTTCCCCAGGGGCTGTGTGCCAGCGGTCCCTTCTCCAGGAGCACGCAGGCAGTGCACCCCAGTAGGTCAGGGCTTAGCCCTCTATTACACTGGATTCAGAAAAGAAAAAGGATGTGCTGTTTCTTGCACCAAAAGTGAAATAGGCCCCATGAGAGGTGGGAGCGCCATGGGCGTTCAGAGGACTTAGCCAGCGGCTCATTTATCGCTCCAGCCGACAGGGTGGGGGTGACAAAGACTGACGAAACTTCGGCCAGGCCCTTCGGAGCTCTTGGGCTAGGCCCAAACTGGGAAGCTGTCCTTCCTTGTACAGTCCAGTTTCAGTAAGAATTCTGCTGCTAAGTTTAGCCCGAATTGCCCATCCTGCGTTTCGAATCACCTTCCACATTTAATCTGGGTCCTCGTCCACCGCTGCCCAGGCGAGGGCTGGCCACTTGCCTGTCTCCCACAAGAATCCTGTGGTCCGTTTGGTCAGAGTCCCCCTTACCCCTGAGGTTTTCTCATACTTGTTTTCCACCCACCAACCTCTCTGCTCTTCTTGGTTATAAATTCCACTTTCCCTTGTCGTATTTAGAATGGAGCCTACTCTCCTGTCCCCTGCTACAAAACCCCAGTGCGGTAGCCCTCCCTCTAATAAAGTCTTTAACAAGTGTCATAATTTTCTTTCTTTAATGGGGTAAGCTGCTCTGAATTGGGGTGATTTCCTCAGGAGCAGCATGGAACGAGGCGCCTGGACTTGGACACAGTGAAGTGAGGGACAGGTCTGGGCGGGGGGGGTCCCATCTGACATAGGAGGAGTTCACTTCCTAAGAGTGGCTGAGTCCCTCCAGCAGCCTGGGGGAAGGGCTGGAACCAGGACTAGCTTTATGTTTATTTTTTACAATTTTTATTGATTGATTGTAGAGAGAAGCATCGATTTATTGTTCCACTTATTTATGCCCTCATTGGTTGATTCTTGTATATGTCCTGACCAGGGATCAAACGTGCAACCTTAGTGTGTCAGGATGATGCTCTAACCAACTGAGCTACTCAGCCAGGGCAGGGATTAGCTTTGTATGTGAGACCTGTATGGTCACATAGGGCCCCGAGCTCAGAAAAACTGTACATCTGGTCCAATCTTAATGATGTTTGAACAAGAGGCCTCCCATTTTCATTTTGCTCTGAGGCCTGCAAATGGTGTAGCCACTCCTGGCCAGAACCAAAGCCTTGCAAGGACGGGCAGGAACCGGGAGAAGCAGCAAGAGACTTGTTGGGAGCCACCTGGAGGGTGGAAGGAAGAGAGGCCTGAGTGGGCAACTTGAGCCCCATGGGCTGAGCCCTGATGCTCCCAGAGTCTGCAGAGGGCAAGCAGCTGCTCCTGCCCAGAGGCTCTCAGGGGAGGCCTCACTCCGAGGGAAGGAAGCCTGTAATTTCAGAACACTCCAAGTGTTTGTCATCTCTGTCAAGAAATCTTTATTTATTTAAAAAAAGATTTTATTTATTCGTAGAGAGAAGGAAGTGGAGGGAGAAAGTGAGGGAGGGAAACATCAATGTGGTTGCTTCTAACAGACCACCCCTGCCAGGAGTCCAGCCTGCAACCCAGGCCTGTGCCCTGACTGGGAATCAAACTAGCAACCCTCTGGTTCATAGGCTGGCACTCAAGCCACTGAGCCACACCAGACGGGGGGAAAACATTTTTTTGTTTTGTTTTGTTTTGTTTTAAAGATTTAGCCCTGGCTGGTGTGGCTCAGTGGATTGAGTGCTGGCTTGCAAATCAAAGGGTCACTGGTTCAATTCCCAGTCTAGGGCACATGCCTGGGTTGTCATCCACGTCCCCACTAGGGGACACACTAGAGGCAACCACACATTGATGTTTCTCCCGGACTTCCTCCCTCCCTCTCTCAAAAAATAAATAAAATCTTTAAAAAAATAAAAAATATCTATGTGCTTTGTGTGCCTGTTCCCCTCCTCCCATCTTAAGGTATAATTTACTTACAGGAAAATTCACCCTTTTCAGGGTTCAGTTTTTAGAGCTTTGACAAATGCAGAGTTGTATGGCCAACCCTACAATCAAGATAGGGAATCGTTCCATCTCCCCCCAAACTTCCCTGCGCCCTCTGCAGTCAGCCCGAACCCCTGGGCAACCAGCGACCTGCTTTCTCAATTACCCTTTTGTGAGCGATCCCACCACATATTTAGAACATATTACAAAGTAGCAAGTAAAAATAAAACCACTTCATTGAAAAGAATAAAAAGCCCGGAATAGGTTCCATAGTGTAGAGAATTCTAATATGACGATGAAGGGCTTCAACATGACAGGATGAGGGAGGGTTATGTAATAAGAGGTGTCGTGATAACCGGACAAACGTGTGCAGGGAAAATGTCAGACATTGTACCTCCACCTGCAAAATAAAATGGACATGTACCAAGGAGTTAAATTTTAAAAATCAAATCCTGGGAAACCAGCAAAAGGTTTTGAAACAGGCTATTATTGAATTACTGGAGAAAGCTCAGCTAAGTTTTTCTGCTCTGAAGCAGTCCCTCCTTCCCACAAAAACAAATCAAACACACCATCCCAACAGGGCAAGATTGACAAAATCAACCAGGTAATAATAAAACTTGGTGTACACTGAAAAGACAAAACAGCGACACAAGAAGAGCCACATACTGGGGAAAGCAATAACAAAGGTGAAAACTGCCTGAGGTATCAGCCGGCATTGAAGTTCTCGAAGAATCTGGACATTGCTCACAGCCAGCGTCAGGGCTCACCAGAGGAAGTGGGGAAGCCTGGGGAGTCCGCAAAAGCCTGTGAGGTCCTGTTGGCTCGGAAGCGTCCTGAGCCTCAGCCGGCTGCCGCAGGCTAGACTCACTCAACGCTCCGCCCCCGCAGCTCCGCGTGGGCCGGACCACCCAGGCTCGAGGTTCACAGGCGCGACTCGCCAGGATGCTCCAACGCCCGCGGGCTCCCGGCGGGGCTCTGACAGCCCCCTTCCCTGCGTGTAGCGTAAGGTTTTGGAGTCACTGTAGTCTCAGAATATTTCTGAGCATCTAAGGAGTTCCAAGTACGAGGTGTTGGGGATACAGCAGTGCAGAGTACGAAGTCGTGGTCCCAGTGGAGCTTTTATTCTTAAGGGGGCGTGTTAGGAGCCGAAAGACAATAAATACACAAAATAATTTGAAGTCAAACGCCATTTTAAAAAAAGAACTGGGTTGTGCAAGTGCTATACAGAAAACAAAACAAGATTGTGCAAGGGTGTTTGCCGGGTGAAGGGTGGGGAGGAGGCGTGGAGGGGTTGAAGGGGAAGATGTCCTGCAATGACACTGGCCCGCACAGGGAGCAGTAAGTCAGGGAAACCGAAACTGAGCCTTTTTCCACGGGCTGTTTCTAGTTGAGTCTCTAAGGCCTATGGAGGGGTGGGGAGCTCCTCTGCCCCCCGCCCCTCCAGAGCAATCCCTTGCTCAGGGAGGAGCGTGAATTCAGTCCATGACTGGGTTTGGGGTCACCCTTCCTCTTCAGGTCAGTTGTGCAACCCAGTCTCCCCCCACCCGCCAAGGAAGGCAACAGGGCAGGGGCTGGGTCCGGTCCCCGTCCCCGCACCCCCACCCCAGCAATCTAATCTTCCGTTGAATAACCAGTGTGTAGATTAGGTACAGGTTTAGCGGCAGAAAAAAGTGTCTTTTCTTTTAAATTTCATTTCATGTATCGAAAAGAGAATCAAGGAGCCATCGCGGGAGAGCCTAACCGTCGGACCCACGCCGTTCCGTACTCCTTCCTCTGAACGAGGGCGGAGAGCGGGGAGCTCAGGTAGCACAGACTTTGGTTTTGGCCTCCCAGAGCGGAGCCGGACGCTGGGACCGAGCCTGGGGCCAAGTTGTGGGGGCGGGATGGTCAGATGCTTCTTCCTGGTGGGAAAGCCGGCCCGCCGGCCCCACGTACCCCCAAATTTCCCGGGCCAGCGAGCCGGTCGGTCCGATCCCCCCCCGCATCCCGCAGACGCGGAGGGTCGTGGTGCAGCCCGTGACGCGGGCGCGGGGGCAGCCAGGGCGTGGGCCGGGACTGCGGGAGGTGCGGCTTCCCGCCGCCGTCCGGCTCTGCGGGCGACTCCACTCTGCGCGCGCGGGAGGGGGGGGCTCGGCACCCGGCCTCACGGGACAGCACCCCTCCGCGAAGCCGCGAGTGGGCGAGTCCCGACCCGCGGAGCAACCGCCGCGGCTTCCGGTTCCGTTGACAGCGGCGCCGGAAGCCAAGGCCGGGCTGTAGGACCAGGTGAGAGCTACGGCTTCCGGCCAGGAGGTGCGGGCCGAAGTTGAGGCTCGTCCGGGCGGCGGAGGGGCGCGGGGGGCGGCAGCTCGTCCGGGCTCTTTGGTCTCGGGCCCTCTCCGACGCCCCCCGATTCAGCCTCCGCACCAGTCCGTTCGCCCTTGGACTTGTTTGCTCCTGAGCCGTCGGCCCCGGGCCGGGAACTGGAGCCCCTCAGGCTCGTAGGACACTCGAGGAAGCGCCCCCGCCGGGGGAATCGTCCAACCCCGACGTTCTGTCGCAGGGTGAGCCGGCTGGATCCGAGGTGAGCCGGTGCGGACGAGGAGGCCGGGCAGGGCGTTCGAGCAGGCTCTTTTGAAGGGTGAATAGGAGTTTGACAGTCACTTGCGTTAATGCAGGTGAAACTCCCAGTAGGGCTGCGTTCCAGGGAAAATGGTGGGCCTTTACTTCTCCCCAGTTTTGGTTAATGACGAAAGATTGAAGCTTCAAATCGAGATCCGTAAGGAAGAAAAGGAGCATTGCATATTGTCGTCTAGGAGGGCACCTCTGAAGAGAAGGTGTTTGTATTGAGACCCTAATAAGGAGCCACCCATGCAAAGATCTGGAAGGAGGGTGCTCCAGGCAGAGGAAACAGCCGGTGCAAAGGCCCTGAGGCAGAAGTAAAGCAAATGAGGTCAAGAGCAAGAAGGCTAGTGTGGTGGGAGTGTGGGGCGTGAAGGGGGGTGAGTGGTAGGAGACGAGGCGGGAGAGGTGGTTCGGAGTGGACTCAGAAACAGCCGTTTAGGCCATAAAATGGAGGGTGGAGGAGTAGACTCCTACTGCAATAGCAGGAGGCTATTGGATTTTAAACAGAGGAGTGGTGAGTGCGTAGGGTGAAGAGTGGATAGAGGTGAGGGTACAAAAGTATAAAAGAGCGGGGCCAACCCTGGCGGGTGTGGCTCAATGGATTGAATGCTGGCTTGCGAGCCAAAGGGTTGGCGGTTCAATTCCCAGTTTCGGCACATGCCTGGGTTGCGGGCTAGGTTCCCAGCAGGGGGTGGTTCTCTCCCTCTCTTTCTCTCTCCTTTCCCCTCTCTAAAAATAAATAATAAATAAAAAAATCTTTTAAAAAGAGTTGGGTCAGTGGAGGCTGTCCAGTTGTGTGTCAGGCAGAGGAGATATTTCTGTGATTTGCACAAACTTCCCTTTTCCCTCTTTACCCCAGAAGGGACAAAACCCTCCTGCGTGCCTTGGAGTGATTTTAATATTTCACTCAAGTGTCTCCCTGCTCCCTCCCCACCAATTGAGCTCAGGCCCTGTAGCCCCGAGGGCGAGGGAGTGGATGTACCATTTAATCAGCAAATGTTCACTGAGCACCCGTGGTGGACCAGGCTCTGGACTGAGCCCTGATGGGGAGGGGCGGGGAGAAACTGGACTCATGGCCTGAGCTTCTCACAGTTCAGCGGGACCGAGGTGTGAACAGGCCCGCGTGCGCCGCAGTGCCGCGGACTCAGATGTGCGTGGTGCGGCTGGTGAAGCAGGGAAGGCGGCGGGGAGGTTTCGGCGAGGGCTCTGTGCGGAGCCGGCAGTGAGGCTGCGTCTTGTGCTCTCCACGGAGAGCAGTGCGGAGGGCGTCCTGGCCGTAGGATCGGCTTGTGCAAAGCAAGTATACAATGACAAAGAGCTGGCATGTCAAGTCATGGCAGTGTTGCGCAAAGGGGGTGACAGAATCCGACGTGTTGCTTTGGGGGTATCAGTTTGTCATACAAACACACTCATCTACCCTTCTGCTTAGTGAGGATGACCCACCGTGACTCAGACGGCTCACCCCGGACCAGCTGAGTAGCCTCCTGGCCTTTTCGGGTGGAATGCTTGCAAGCAGTTCTGTTTTCCCAGCTCATTTATTTTATTTTTACATGTTTAATTAAGTTTTCTCAGTTCATTGTTCGTCTCATTGGTCCATGCAGGGCCACCTTCTCCTTTGTATTTGTGTATTCCCTTTTAGCCCCATTTCCCACCCCACCGTAGGAAACCACTCTGAAGTGTTCAGTCTGTATCCCTGTATTTGCGTGTGTCCTTGGTTGTATGCATATATTTTTAAATTTACATAAATGGTATTCTCCCTAGACTTCATTTTGTTTCAGTTTTTCCCCTCAGTACCACATTTGGGTACTTACTGATGTTGCTGTGGATATCTCTGGGGTATGGTTTCTCAATGCTATCCAGGGTTTCATAGATGCGCCCCCCCACATTTTACTTCCCAGACTTCCCAGTTCCCCCAGTGGGGAGGCCCCTAGACTGTGGACGACTCCCAGCCACTGCACACGGCGCTGGGATGAAAATCCTTGCACCATCTCCTTCCTCAGCTTTTTGAAGCAGTTTCAGGATTCTGACGGGCTTCCCTTTGATAATCCTGGTGTTGGCTGGTGTCTGACAGGGCCAGGCTGTTTGACCTTGGTGAGGTCCCCGTCGTTCTTGAACTGGGTTTATTTTTGGTAAATGTGATTCTGGATGTGTGGTTCCCAGACATCCTTGGCAAACATTCTTTCGTGCCGCTATCTTTCCTAGTTGATGGTCTCACAGGCTCTGTGGTTAATTTCGTGCTCCTCCTCATCATTAATTGTTGCTGTGCACTCAGTCCAGCCACAAACGTTCCCTTTGCGGGCGCGGAGGCGGCCCGGTGAGCTGGTCCAGAGGGTGCGGTGACGCCAAGTGCCTCAGCGGGGGCTCTGGGGTCAGGCCGCCTGGCCTCACTTCTCAGGTCCTCCCCTCCCAGCCGCGTGACCTCGGGTGACTTGTTTAATCTTTGTCTCTTTTTCTTATCTGTGAAGTAGGTCTAATGATTGTACCTACCTGTGGTGTTCTTGTAAAAATTAACTAGCTAATGCATGCAAAGTCATTAGAACAGTGCCTGGCCCTTAATAGGCCCCTATGAAGGGTTAACTATTAATAGCAATAATAATTATCATTTACTATTATTTCAGACAGGAGTCCCTGTTATATTTTGCCATAACGGCTCATGCCCAGTGACAGAGCACAGGCACACTTGTTTTACTGAGCTTCACTTTATCGCGCTTCCAGATGTTGCATGTTCATCAGCATCGAGGTAAAACCTCCCACCAGCAAAGATTACAACCCACTGAAGGCTCAGAAATGGTTAGCACTTTTTAGCAATAAAGTATTTTTAATTAAGATGTGTACTTTTTAAACAAGAGGTAATGCTGTTGCACACCTAATAGACCGCTATAGTGTAAACATAACTTTTACGTGCACTAGGAAACCGAAACGGTCATGTGACTCGCTATAGTGCGGTGTTGGCTTTATTGCGCCGCTGGCTTTGCTAGGGTGGTCCGGAAGGACCCAGAGCATCTCAGAGGTCTGCCCGTATGCGCTGAGGAGGCATGAAGCGGGGGACGTGTCTTCTAGACACCGTGATCACAAACTCTAGGGTGTTAGCATCAACCATAGAGAGATGGCATAAGCACGCGGCGAAGCCCTGGGTGCCATTTGCTGTCATGTGTCCCCGGCTCTGCTGAGGCGATGAGGCCAGAACTGACAGTGCTAGTGAGAATGGGCAGAGAGGGACGAACCCGGAGAATCCTGGGGGTCACCTTGGGCTCAGGACTGTCCTCGTGATGTTACTCTGCACTCCTCTTTGAGAGAGTGGTCAGCTGGCTAGATTGGGGCGCTTGAGAGTGTCCTTTCATTTCTGGTGCCATGGATGGAAGGCTAGGGAGAGGGCCCTGTCACCAGCAATTTGAGGATTGTCTGTGTGTTCAGTGACAAAGGCTGCTTTCACATAGAGGGGAGCGGTGGCTCAGGGTGGAAGGGACTCAGGAAGGGGACCTCAGTGGTAGGAAAGGCGGACGAGGAAAACCGGCTGTCTCTCAGTGGCATGATGAGGGGGAAGGTTGTGTTACGGAAGGTGTGCTGGTTTGTGGGGGCGGCGCCCCTCACACATCATTACCGGGCGAGCAGAATTGAAATGGGAGGGCCCTCGTCCAGTGAGAGCCACACAGCGTGTGGGTGAAGCTTTCCTGCTGTGCGGTGAATAGAAAAACCGTTCAGTTGCGCCAGACGCTGGGTGGGCACAAGGCCTCTCGGGCCCCCAGACCTGCCTGGTAACAGTGCAGACATGACGTGGCAGTTTTGTTTCACCAAACATCACCTGTTTGATGGGACACAGCTTCTGTGCGGGGAGATGAGAGTTCTGCGAATGGACGGTGGTGACAGTTGTACAACATTGTGAATGTACTCAGTGACACTTAAAAATGGTTAAAAGGGGAAATTTTATGTGTATTTTACCACCATTTAAAAATCATACTTAAAAAACCCCCACTGAAGTAGGAGGGGCCAGGTGGGAGCAAGGGGGGGACAGCTGGTAGAGGGGCCGCCCCGGAACTGTCTCAGGCAGGAGAAGCCCGCTTCTCACGCAGCCGGGGAGGTGACGGGTGATGGAGGGCTCCCAGGGAGCGGGACCAGCCTGAACAGGCCCAGGAGCTGTGAGGGAGCAGGGTCCTGGCTGCCGCCTGGGGGCGAGCAGTGGGGGGCCGACGCTGGGGCGGAGGGCACGACCTTCGGGCGCTGCGGTGGCAGTTGTTCCTTGGGCTGCGTTTCCAAATACCAGCCTTTCAAAGACTGTCTTCATGGCTTCCATCGCTGTAGTACATAAAAAACCAAGCCCACCCATTGAAGAGAAGGCAGCCATAATGAGTCCGTGAAAGTACGTGAAATGTGACACTAGGCACAGTCTACTTAAGGCTTTCTGCTTAGTACCGCCTGCCGAGGGCTCTGTGACCTGCTGCCTCTTCTCATTAAAAAAGCAAGCAGCGCTGGCTCGGTGGGGGTGTCACCCGTGCACCGAAAGTCTGTGGGTTCCATTCCTGGTCAGGGCACGTGCCCGGGCTGTGGGTTTGATTCCTGGCCGGGACCCATACGGGAGGCAACCGATCAATGTTTCTCTCTCACATTGATGTTTCTCTGTCTCTCTCTCTCTCCCCCTTCCTCTCCCTCTAAAATCAGTAAATATAACCTTGGGTGAGGATTTTAAATAAAGAGGGAGAAATGAGCAGGGGTTGTCGAGTGAAAGGAGTTGAAAACAGTTCTCTCACCGTGATTCGAAATGTCCCTGCCCTCGCATCTGCCTGTGCCTTCCACTGCGCACCCGGGCTAGGGGTGGTGGAGCTGTGGGCAGACGTGTTGAGCCGGGCATTTCTGAGCATTGATATACGATATGGGGGTGCTGGGGGGGATATGGGGGGCTCCCCTGCTGTGCGCCCCAAGTGGGGCCTGACGCCGGACCCTCCTCCCACCCGCAGGCAGGGGCCGCCATGGAGCAGTGCGCAAGCGTGGAGAGAGAAGTGGACAGGGTCCTCCAGAAGTTCCAGGCCTACGGGCAGCACTTCGAGCAGAGCCTGGAGGAGCTGCTGCACTGCGTGGGCCGGCTGCGGGCCGAGCTGGCCAGTGCAGGTGGGTATCCCCCCGCAGAGCCCCACGCCCGCCTCCCTGTGCGCCTCGGACACCCCGAGGCTACTTGGTGACAATGACTTTTCCTGCTCTGCCGCTCCTTATGTATTTATTACTTGGCGTTCAACTATAAGGAAGAAGTTTTCCCTTCTCCCTTATTCATATATTTATTTAGTATCAGAACTTTTAATTTTATTCAATGGGTTATAATCCATTACTATTGTTACCATATTTTGATGCTCGAATTCTGTTAGATTTGACAAGAGGTAGCCCCTAGTTCCTATGTCCTTTATTGTTTTTTCATTGAACTATGATTCACATTAAAACACACCCTTTTAAAATATACAATTCAGTGATCTGTAGTGTATTTACAGAGCTGTACAGTCATTATCACCATGTAATTTGAGAACATTTTTATCACTCCAGGAGACAGTCGCTCCCCCACGCCTCTCTCTCCCGTGGCCCTTGGGCAACCACTCATCTACTTTCTGTGGACTCTTCTGTATTACCAAATTCATATAATGAAATTGTAGAATAAGTTTAACTTTTTGAGGAAGTGGCAAACTATTTTTACAAATGTAGCTGCAACTTGCAACATTCCTACCTTCCAGCAATGTTTGGGGGTTCCAGCTCCTCCGCACCTTCCCTACTCTCGTCTTTGATTGTAGCCACCCTCGCATTTTTTTTAATGACTGATGACAGTAGAGCGTCTTTCCGTGTGCTTGAGGGCTGTTCATATATCATCTTTGGAGAAATGTCTATTTAAATCTTTTGCCCGTATTTTAATTGGGTTATTTGTCTTCTTATTGTTGAGTTGTAAGAGTTCTTTATGTATTCTTGATACTACTCTCTTATTAGACATAGATTTACTAATATAGGCTATTATGTGGGTTGTGTTTTAACTTTCTTGATAGTGTTGTTTAAAGCACAGAAGTTTTTAATATTGATGAAGTCCACTTTGTTTTTTCTTTGGTTGCTTGTACTTTGTTCCGATAGCTAAGAAACCATTGCCTAATGCACAGCCATGAAGATGCACACCTCTGTTTTGTCCAAGAGTTTTGTATTTTGGGCTCTTACACTTGGTCTTTGATCTGTTTTGAGTTAAACTTTTGTGAATGATGTAAGGTCCAGCTTCGTTCCTTGGTTCGTGAGTGCTCAGTTGTCTCAGCACCATTCTTTCTTCTCCTGGATCCGTTTTGATGTGGTCTGTCATTTTTTTTTTCCAACAAATCCTTTATTTTCTGGCACAATAAGATATTCCCTGGAATCAGTAATTTTTGCAAGGAACCATGGTTCTTTTGATGGGAAATGGTATTTGGAAACCACGATCTAGGTCATTACTGGGGTGCCATTGTTTTTAGGGCTTTTTTCCAGCAAACGGACCTTCCTTCCTTCCCTCCCTCCTGTCTGTTTATCCATTCATCCCTCTGTCTTTGTACACTGCAGACAGCGTACTTACAGTGGTGTCTCCGGTTCCCACCCCGCGTCCCCGGGTCCTCCCCGGACTTGCCCCAGCCATCACCGCCTCCCCCCGACTGCCGCTACGGCTCTCCTCTGCTCCGTGGCGACAGCGCTTAGACGGTATTTTCAGAAGTGCTACACACTGAGAGTAAACAAATCTACAAAGTGGAGTCTGTTTCCTTTTTATTTTTATTTCTTAAAGAATGCATGCACATGAGAAAAGACTTCGAGGTCAAAAAAGATGACAGTGAAAAGTGAGTCTCCCTTTCACCCCTGATTCCCAGTTTCTGTGTGCTCCCCCCAAAAGTCACCCCGTTCTGTTGACTCGTAGGCATCACGTGGAAGTGTCTGTTCCCCGTCCTTTTTTTCACACACAGGGACTGTAAAGCACATACTTCCTTGCACCTTGCTCTTTCCCGCCACAGCCTGTCTGGGAGTGTTCCGTATCAGCCCGTAGAATTCTGCCCCATCCTCCTGCTCCTGTACAGTTGTGCCATGCTTTCGACAGCACCTGCTAACCGTGTGTCGGAAACACTCTTCTCTTGCTCGTCCGAAACTCATTCCCACGACCTGTGCTCTTGGTTAACACAGGGCTGGGGCTGTGGCTGCAAGGTGTTTACAGGGAGGGCACCTCCTCTCTGGTGGGGATTTGTGGGGCTAATGGCTGTCGCAGGGGTCTGGGTCCGTGGAGGTTGCAGCTGGGAGATTCCAGGTTGAAAGGCTTTGGTTTCCTAAGGGCGTTGCTTTGTCCTAAACAGGGCGTGGCTAGGGAGCGTGCAGTGCGGCCCTCTCTGCGACCCAGGGAGCGGAGTGTGGGAAAGGGCGGGCAGGCTGGGCTTTGGGGGCAGCGCTGATGCTGGGAGTGGAGTGAGCTTCTGCCTTGACTCCCTGGGGTAGGTGGGTGGCCCAGCTGCCACCTCCTTTTTGTGTTTTTCAGGACTCACTCAAAAGGACAGAGACCCAGCTCAGACTAGCATAAACAAACACACACAGAAACAGAGGGGGGCTGGATTTAGGGGCTCAGGTAACTGAAGGGTGCAGGCCCGGCTGGGCCCAGGTACCCGTGCCATCCGAGTCCACAGTGGCTTCACTCGCAGAGCCTGCTCCCCCAGGTGCGAGGTGCCCGCCGCGCTCCAGCAGCTCCTGCGCACATTGTTTGTTCAGCAGCCTGGCACAATGCGCCTCTCTACCAGGGCTTCTGGTCTTGGAGTTGAGACTCTCCCTGGCCCTCCTGGGTCACATTCCCTTCCCTGAACTAAGGTGATCCATCTGGAGAAGTGGCGCAGACGCGGGGCTGGAAGAAGGACCGGTGTGCTGTGTGCCCTCCGCTCCTCCAGGCCCCACCCGCCCTTGGCAGTTGGTCTGGCTCCAGCCCGGCCATGGGGTGGAAGGTGCACGGAGCGGGAGTCCTGAGCCAGAAGCCCTGCGCTTCCCTGGCAGCCCTGGCCCACCTGGCGTCCTCTGAGTTGATGAGAGGCATGAACGGGGAAACGACGTTTTGCGGTTCACAGCCTCTCACACACGGATGCTCGCATGGCATCTCACTCAGGATAATAAGGAGCCATTGTATGTGGGGGTGAGGAGCATAGACTTGAGCTCTGTCACTGCAGTGTCACCTGGCAAGTCACGGCCACTGCACAGCATGGTGGCGAGGATGAAGTGAGCCAAAACAAAGTATCTGCCCACAGGTGACCTGGCCAGTCCCCAGTCCTGCGGTTAGAAGCTGGCAGGACCTGAGACAGGGACAGGTTCTGCTGCTGGGTCGTGGCTCACTGCCAGTGTTTCTCTGCAGCCCTCCAGGGGACCTCTCTCTCAGCCACCCTCTCCTTGGTGATGTCCCAGTGCTGCCAGAAGATCAGAGACGCTGTGCAGAAACTGGCTTCGGACCACAAGGACATTCACAGCAGTGTCTCCCGAGTGGGCAAAGCCATCGACAGGGTGAGGGCGAGAGCGTGGCCCGGGGGCGGCGTCGGTGTGTCCCCGGGCTCAGCGGGACAGCAGGCGCGGCGGTGCGCATGCCGAGTCACGGGCCCTGTCTCTCGTCCTTGCCAGAACTTCGACGCTGAGATCTGCGGCGTGGTCTCGGATGCGGTGTGGGGCTCCCGGGAGCAGCAGCAGCAGGCCTTGCAGCTGGCCATGGTGGAGCACCTGTACCAGCAGGGCCTACTCGGCGTGGCCGAGGAGCTGTGCCAGGTAATGGCTGTGCCGGGCGGGCGGGGGGCCGGGGGGGGGCGCTGGCGCCGCCGGCTCCGCTTCTGCACTGTAGCCTTCTCTATGTTACACTCTTGTTATTCTCGAAGTAAATTTATTTTAGAAAGGAAATCAGGCCTCCTGCCATAAATAGAAGGTAGCTCTAAAAAATATGGTGAAAAGCAGTCATTAATCTCTAGCGAGGGTTGGGTGCCAGTCGGGGTTCTGAGTTGAGGCCCGATAGCCCTTTCTTAAAAAGAGAGGTCAGTATAATGACAGAGTAGCACTGTTAGGTGTTAAAGCACACTGGCAGCGAAAGTAAAGGGCCCTTTCTCTTAAAGTAATTAAGAGGGCTGAAAAGGAATAATTTCTCATCGTGCTACTCAGCACAGGGACTGGGGCCTGTGGCCACTGGCCCAGGTGAGGGCATGGTCTGCCCGGCGGGAGACCCGCGGGTGGCGCTCAGCCTCCCTGAACTGAGGTGGGAATGAGAGTGGCCACAGGGCGGCGGCGGCCACGCCCCTCGCGCAGACCTCGGCTCTCGCCAGCCTGTCTGTGGCAGGTGAGGTTTTGTTAGAGAAGAGCATTTGGGAAACACTGTCCTCCAGTGATGGGACCGCGTTCTCCCGCAGGAATCCACACTGAACGTGGACTTGGATTTCAAGCAGCCTTTCCTGGAGCTGAATCGAATCCTAGAAGCTCTGCACAAACATGACCTGGGGCCGGCATTGGAGTAAGTGGGCCCTGGGATGGACCAGCAAGGGACAGAGCTTGTCTTCGCCTCACCCAGTGTACTTGACGTGCCCCCAGCTCGGCCTCATGGCCCCAAATAGGCTTTTGGAGACCACTGCTCTGTCCTGCCCCGGCGCCCTCTTCTGTTGTCCCACGCGCTCCACACTCAGCCGGTCCCTTTCTTGGCAGATGGGCCGCCTCCCACAGGCAGCGTCTGCTCGAGCTCAACAGCTCCCTGGAGTTCAAGCTGCACCGACTGCACTTTATCCACCTCCTGGCTGGGGGCCCCGACAGGCAGCTGGAGGCCCTCAGCTACGCCAGGCGCTTCCAGCCCTTTGCTCGGCTGCACCAGCGGGGTGAGTGCCAATGCCAGCGGGTTACTGGGGTGCCGCTCCCCAGCCTGGGAACCCTGACCCCTCCTTCGTTGTCTCCAAGGTGAACTCCATACTCAAGGCTCTTCCACCTCTGCCTGTCATACCCTTCGAGCTTCACCTCAGAGCCACCTCCAGTCCCCAACGCTGGCTGTGTGCCACCCCCACATGCAGAGCACACGGGGCTGTGTGGGCCACGACACGCCTGCCGCGTGCTGCTCTGCCCCAGCGCCCCCGCAGCTTCCATCCCGAGCCCCCCGCTTCACACTCGGCTCCCCAGACCTCAGGCGGTGGCCGTCAGGCCCCGCCCTACTGTAGTAACTTTTGTCTGTAGCTCCCTTACTATTTATTACGTCACATTTATTGAGAGGTAAACATGAAAACCAGACAGTCTAATTAAACTTAGCTCGATACCCCCTGAAGGTTTTTTGAAAAGGGACATTAGCTATATCCTGGGTGCTGCCCCGAGACTTGAGATTCGAGATCCGTTCCCTGATGCAGTCAAGGGATGAGAAGAGAGGTAGGACCCTTCGTCCTCGTGCTCTGGGTGGTGCTGGCCTTATCCCACTTAAGCAGTCCCATGGGATTTTAGGGAAGACAAGTTTTGCCTGAGGGCATTTCAGCCCCTGCCTGGCCAGGCGCCCGGGGGCCTTGGGGCCTGGCCTGCCTCCCGCCCTGCCCCGCGGCCGCGGCTCCTGGGGCTGGCCCCGAGCCCTGGGGAGAGGCTGCCTCCTGGGCGCCGGCACGCCCTGAGCCGCGCGGTTGCCTTGTAGAGATCCAGGTGATGATGGGCAGTCTGGTGTACCTGCGACTAGGCTTGGAGAAGTCGCCCTACTGCCACCTCCTGGACAACAGCCGCTGGGCTGAGATCTGTGAGACCTTTACGCGCGATGCTTGTTCCCTGCTGGGGCTTTCTGTGGAGTCGCCCCTCAGCGTCAGGTACAGCAGCCCTGTGCTCAGGGCAGCGTGAGTGGGAGGACATCAAGGGGAAGTTTGCCGAGGCCCTGCGGCGCGCCGGGGACTGCGCTCAGTGCCTCCGCAGACCGAAACTGGCTCTCCACACCATTCTCCCAGATAGGAATTATCTGTGTCCACAGTTGGAGAAACTGAGGTTAAGAAGTTATGGCCCAAGGTCACCATGAGGTTAGCGGCAAGGTCAAGGTTCCTATTTTGTGAATTCCCTTGAATGGGGTCCTCACCTTGCCTGCACCTGACCGCCGGATACCACAAGACGTCCGCGCGTGGCTCTCTCAGCCTCATCCCTCAAACCCCACTTCCTCCCCGGTAGGCTTGAGTGGCTGAGTTTCAGGTTTCGAGTTCCCACTCGAAGGCTCCTGCACACTAATGCTCTTCTCATAACTCCAGTGACCTGGGAGTTAGAGGTCCTATCGTCCTCGCTTCACAGAAAACAGGCCCAAGACGTGGCTGAACTTGCCTAAGGCCTCCCAGGGAATAGAGGGCGGGGAGCCTGGAGCCAGTGCCCCTCACTGCACTGGCGGGTGATGTCACGGCGCGTTTACTTACACTGGTTGTAGGATCTCATGCTCCTTCCCAAGTGGTAGACCCGAGTTCTGGACAGCATTTCCCAGCAGGAACACCGCCTGCGCCTCATGCAGGACAGCTGCCCCCTGCACTGTCCGTATCTAGCACCCAGAGCTCCGGCCGGTTGCTCCCACCCCCACCCAAAGCAGGGTGAGGTCCGAATCTGCCCTGTCTCTAAGTGCCCCAGTTGGTAACCAGTTGTAGAGGCGATGTATGACAGCTGAGCGGGGTAGACGGGCAGGCTGGGGCCCTTTCAGACTGATCATGTCCCTGTCACACCAAGGACTTTTCCGTGGTTTGGAGGTAGATACCTGCCCCCTGGATCTTCCTTTTGTCTCTCCTTTAAGTTCTTAAGTTTTCTTTGTTCCTTTAAAGATTCACTTATTTGTAGAGAGAAGGGGAGGGAGACAGCAAGAGAAACATTGATGCGAGGAATAGATCTATTGCCTCACACATGTTCCCAACTGTGGACTTAGCCCACAACCCAGGCACGTGCCCTGACTGGGAATCAAACCAGCAACCTTTGGTTTGCAGGCTGGCACTCGGATCCACTGAGCCACACCAGCCAGGGCAGATTCTTAAGTTTTGAGGTGCACTGGTATGACTCAAGTTGGACACACGTAACTACGTATGTGGCACTTTATGAGCAACCTGACAAAATTCTCAAGGACCGATTTGACCATGTGCCACTTTAGAACCCCGACCTGAGTCCCATACCAATGACATGTGTGCTGGTCCTTTGGTTTGTCTGCTGGGGTCTTGGTCTGGCCACCCCAGCCCCTGCTCTCTGTTCCGCAGCTTTGCCTCTGGCTGCGTGGCGCTGCCCATGCTGATGAACATCAAAGCTGTGATTGAGCAAAGGCAGTGCACGGGGGTCTGGAGTCACAAGGACGAGTTGCCGGTGAGCCCTGGCTGAGAGGTGTGGGTAAAGGCACTGGGGAGGACGGCCACGGCAGGACTGGGACTCACCCCTGGGCTGGCCCCCCCAGATTGAGATTGAACTCGGCATGAAGTGCTGGTTCCACTCGGTGTTCGCCTGCCCCATCCTACGCCAGCAGACGTCAGAGTCCAACCCCCCCATCAAGCTCATCTGTGGCCACGTCATCTCCCAGGACGCACTCAACAAGCTCGTTAACGGAGGAAAGTAAGCGCCCCGTGCTCTTCCTTTCTGGCTTGGCTCCTCTGCAGCAGCCCCCGCGACGTTCCTGCTTCTCCTCCTTTGCAGGCTGAAGTGTCCCTACTGTCCCGTGGAACAGAACCCAGCTGATGGGAAGCGCATCATATTCTGACTCCTGCCCGGAAGGAACCCAGTTTAAACAAGTTTTCCACCCATGAGCCTTGCTGTCTCCTGGGCTGGTCGGCTTCGGTGGGTGGTGGTTCCTTTCAGAGCAGGTGGCCGAGTGTCGCCACAGCAGGGGCCGGGACGGGAACGAACCAGACTGCACCGGACAGCTGGCTCCTGGACTGTCTGGACAAGGAGACGCCGGCTTCTGGGTTCCAGCCACCTCCGTTTCTGTTGCTACTGACTCGGCAGCAACTGATGGCGGAGCAGAGGACTTGGGCGGCGGCGGCAAGTCTCCATCCCTGCCCTCAGCCAGGCCTTCCTGCCACAGCAGCGCCCTGTCTTACCCGCTCGCCGTACCGCCTCACCGCTGTGTGTGTCCGTCACCCACTGTAAATGCTCTGGGTTAGAACTAAATGCCATTGTTTTATAAATTTGAGCAAATATATTCACAGGCCTTCTCCTTCTCTTAGCTCCACCAACAAATAATTCCTACACGTCCACTGTACACAGGTTTCGGTCTGGCTGCTGCCGCCGGGACCGTGGCAGCCGGTGCCCAGTCAGCAAGAACCCAGCCTGCATCTCTGATGGGGTGGAAAGGCTGGGAGCGGTCAGTCCCTGGCGAGGGCGCGTCTCCACACCCACCCGTAGCGTCAGCGCAGGGGTGTGCGGGAAGATGAGATGACTTGCACAGCAGGGCTCACAGCTCATCAGGGGGAGCTTGGGGTTTAAATCAAAATAAGCCCAAGCTCTTCCCAGTGTATTCCAGGGCACCTGAAGCCTGGTTGCTGTGTGTACTGAGTCCTGTGCTGGCCTTGAGAGCAGCAAGTTACCTTAGGTGTAAAATGCTGGGAGGGACTGCATTACCAGGGCCATTATGCAGCAGAGAGGGCCTGGGGGTTTGTATTTAGCTTCACATTCCTATTTAAAATGCCCTCTTTAAAATTTAGCTTCACATTCCTATTTAGCTTCGCATTCCTATTTAAAATGCCCCGGGTGGGTAAATTGCTCCTATAAGCTTCCAGTGGCGCTTAAGGCTCACGCAGGAAGAAGGGGACTGGGGTGTGCCCGCCATAGAGGCTGCAGGCTCCCAGGTGGTGGGGTTTGGGCTCAGCTGCCTTAGCCTGCATCCCCCACCTGCTCTGGATGTGGGAGGTGAAGGCTCGGGGGTGGCAGCAGTCTGTTCTCAGCAGGAGTCTAGCACCAGCCGCGGCAGCCAGGCGCTGGTGCTGACACTCTTCAAGTCCTTCAGGCCCCCTGGCGAGAAAGGCTGCTCCGCTTTTCCCGCCCACCAACTCCGTGGCCCCACCAGCAGCTTCTGCTTTGAAAAACACCCACAGGCGCATCACATTATAGCCTTAGCTTTTACTTCCCTTCACACCTCCTTGGAACCTAGTGCCAGGAAACTCAACAGGAAACAGCACCCGGGGGAGAACATGCTGTTGGAGCTGCCCGGGGGGAAATATGTGCTTCAGGAGACTGGGCGACGCTGAGGGTGCGCAGCAGGAGAGCGGCCAGTGGGCCCCGGCCAGCCACCCAGCTTCCGGAGCAGGCGCCCAGGCTGCTGCCAAGGCCTTCACAGCGGCAGGGGCAGGGCTTGCACCTCCTGCAGGCACTCGTCATAGGCCTCCTGGTAGTCTTCGTGGGGCTTGACCATTATCACGCAGGTGGGGCGCTTGGAGCCCGCAGCCGCTCCCAGGTCCTGCAGCAGAGAAAGAAGGGCTGTTTGGACAAAAGGCCGCACAACTGTACGCCAGGGGGTTGCAAACCAATGTCCTACCGGCCTAATCTGTCTCATGGGCCTGTGATGTTTGGTCAACAAGACACTTAAAAACATTTCGAATTAGGTGCCTTATTTAAGCTCAGCAAACTTTCAAGCAGCTTGGCAACACTGGGCCTGCGCTCCCACAGGGCAGTGGTGAAAGGGGCCTGGCCCAGCGGGATGGTCCCCGCAGGGCCTGTGCTCGCCAGGCTCCCACCATCGCCTGCCCCCCTGCCCCAGACCAGGCTCCTGCTGGGTATGGATGAGGAGCCAGGTCCCTAAAACCCGCCCTCTGAGCACTGCACCCACCCAACAGGACTAACATGGGGGCAGCATGTCAGCTGACAAAGCGCATCCACTTACACCTTCGGTTTCCTTTTCACAGGCCACAGAGGAAGGGATTCCCATTTTACAAGAAGGAAATGCAAGTACTGACAGGTAACTTACCAGCAGCCGCCCACCCAGGATGCGGCAGAGCCAAAAGTCCACGCAGGCCCGTTTTAACTGCAGAGCGCGCACTCTTCCCACTGCGGCCTGGGCTGCGGACCCCATCCCAGACCCTCTCCGCCCGTGCTGACCCGGACCAGGGCTCAGGTGCTCCTTACTGTCTTCGAGGGGATGTAGACGTAGGGCAGACTCCGGTCCTCGCACATAACCGGGAGGTGGCAGTATACCTCAATGGGCAACGTGTCTCCTGCCAAAACCATGATCCTGAAGTGGCAGAAACAAGTCATTTCTAGCTTCCTCATTCCCTCCTTGCCTTCAGGGCACAGACGCAGACAAGATGGACCGTTCCCTCAGGGAGGCTTGTTCTTCCTGCGGGTTGCCCAGCCTCTGAAAGTGTGGCAGATTTATTTGGTGACTGCATTCTCAGGGGAGGTAACTGTTTCTTGGCAACACATGCCACCAAATATGACAAGTGGTATTGCATTGGGACAGATGAGGTACAGGAGGAACCCCAAGGAATGACAGCTCATTTGTCTTTGCCAAGAGAGTCAAAGGGAACCAGAAGGCCACACGACAGACAATGAATAATGACTGTCTGGAAGCCCAGGGAGGGGCGGGGAAGCGTTTCAGGAGGAGTATCAGAACGGCACGAGACACACAGAGGCTGGCTGATGGCAACCTGGGTGGCTTTGGAATCCAGGATGGGGACAGGATCAGACAAGACGACCAGAGAGATTGGCAGGGGCCACACCCCAGGGCCTTGAGTGCCAGGGTGGGCTCAAGGGTGGGCTCAGTCCCGAAAATGACAGGGAACCAATGAGGGCTTGCCAAACGACTCTCAGCTAGGGCTCCTAGCTGCAAGGAGCCAGGGCCTCCGGAGCCCTGAAGACACAGAAGGAAGACATTTCTCCAGGGTGAGATGCAAACACCTGGAATGAGCTCTTGGTTTCCAAGTCCTGGGCCCACACTCGTCTAGTTTTCCTTTTTCTCCCAACTCTCTGGTGCTCTCACAGCCTGGTGCTTGGCTGCCCTCTCAGTACCTTCTGGCTGACCCCATCCATGGCCATCAAGTCCCATCTGTGTGCTGACAACTCCAAGACCTACTCTCTCCAGCCTGGCCTTGTCTCTCCCAAGCTTGCAGCCCACATGGCCATCTGCCTGTTAGACAGCTCTGCTGGGGAGAGGGGTCATGAGTCTAAAAGGCACCTCAACAACTTGTCTAAAGTTAAACTTGTGATCTTCCAACATAAACTGTTCACTCAGTGAGAGGGCTCTCTGTCCATTCACCTGGAATCCACACCCCCTCACGCCACGTTCAAAAGTTCTCTCATAACAACCACTTTTATTCTCTCCATCTCCAATCTAATCAAAATCACCCTCACCTCTTCTAGATGACAGTAGCCTATTTCAGTGCCACTGTCTTACTCTTGAGCCGCCAATCCTTTCTAAAGCTGACACTCTCTGGTTTGAATCCTCAGTTCCCTCCCAAAGCTCTGACTACAAAAGCTTAACTTACCATGGCTTACAAAGCCCCATGAGAAGATGGCACTTCTGCCCACTGCCACCCTCTCCTGCCCTGGGACCTCCTTTCTTCTGGCAGAGCTCCTCCCCTCCAAACCACTCCCTGCATCTTCAGATCTCAGCTACCCCTGCCTAAGTCAGATTCCCCATTGAGCATCAAATCTCTCCAGTAATTTACCTCTTGAGAACCTACAAGGTACCAGACACTTCTGAGGATAAAGGGAGAGGCTTTATCCTGTTCTCAAAGAGCCTACCGTCTGGCCAAAGTAGGAGATACAAGGAATAAAAATGCAGTGAGTTTCAGAATCTGATAAATGCCAATAAAGAGAGATGTAAGTCTCTCACTGCATCCTATACTTTTCCTTCATGGTTACCTGTTACAACTTATAATTTTGTGTGAAACTTAATTAAAGGAATTGTCTCCCCAAGGCACAGTGCCTAAAAGAGTAGACACTGAAATACAGTAGCTGAATGAATGAAGCTGGCTCATTCGATTCGCTTCCCTTGGAATTCATTTTCCCCGTGGTGTCCCTTTGAGCTAGGTAAGTGATGTATCGGTTAGCCGTTCTGAAAATAATTTACAGACTGCATGATGATTTTACAATAAAGTCAAAGCACTTTTACCGAGCACCTACTAAATGGCTGGGATTCCTTCATTACCGTTTAGGGTGCAAAATCCAGCGGGAGGGGGTTCTTACCCTTTCTCGCCTTTGTTGACAAACTTCTGAACCTCCTTCACCCCGCGCCAAATCTGCTTCTGCTTCACGGCTGCAGCGAGAAAAGAGTCAGTCCACGGGGCCTCATTTCGCCACCCACGCCACCGCGGCGCCCTCCTGACCTTTCTTGATGCATTTGTAGAGCTTCCGAGTAAGGCGGCGAGAAGCCAGGGGCTGTGCGATGGGGTTCAGATTCACCAGCAGCTCGTGGTAAGTGCGCTCCCCGGTGCACGCCTCCGCCTGAGCCTCTTGCCCGTCGGGATCTCCCTTTATTTTGGTCATCTCAGCGGCCGCGGCACCGACTCCCAGTAGACGATCCACGCGGCCCGCGCTCCAGGGATCACTTCCGGGTCATCTGCTCTAGGGAAGCCGGCCGAACACCACAACCAATTAGGAAACGAGGTCTCGGACTCAGACCAATCGTTGACGCTCAGCCCTTTAACTACAAAGCTGGGGGCGGAGTATCGGCCGCCGGGGCGGGGCGGGGCCCCTCCCTCTACTAAGAGGCGGGGCGGGGTTCGAGCCACCCCACGCGGGCCCGGAGGGAACCGGAGGCTAAGGACAGAGCACGGAGGGAGGCGGGGCCAACGGGAGGCGGGACGCAGGGGAGGAACCTGGGAACCCTCTTCGGCTGGTGCAAGAGAGCAGCCCCTCGGGGACTCCGTGGCAGCCGGAGGAGGAGGCAGTGTTAAGGGGACGGAATCCTTGTGAGAGCTTTCGGGTCTGCGACTCGGGAGCGAGAATGGAAGTCGGCCCGATGCAATTCCAAACCGCCTCAGAATCTACTTCCTCAGGTAGACAGTGCGCAGCCTAGGCAGGTCCCGGGTGCTGAGCTGGTCCTGGGTGGTGTGCCCCAGGTGCCAAGGTTCAGGTGCCAAGGTTCAGGTAAAGCCTGAAGCTGCTGACGGTTTCCTCCGTTCTGGCCCCGTTTCTGATACTCTGCTTTCTGTTTCCTGGCAAGAGATGGATGCTCCACTCGCCCAGCGCCTCGAGCCGGACTGCCTTTCCCCAGAGGACCACCTTCTCTAAAATTACAGTACCGCCTCCCCCCGACCTCCCCCTAACCCTCATTCCTCCTAGTTCCCACTGCCGCCTGGCCTCACACACGGAGGACACCATGTGGGGTGAGAAGGAACCTGCGTGGACACCGTGGGACCCGCCCTCCGCGGCGGGCTGGGGACAGCTCTGAGTCGGCCCCCGGTTTGCAGTTATCGTAGAAGATTAGCGGACTGCGACACAGAGGCGGCAAGACGGCCTAGACTGGGGCAGATCTTAATATCTCCCACTTAGATCTCCCCGTGTCTTAGAACACTGCACGGAAATTAATTCAATAATTGCTACAAATTAATCGCCTTTGATTACGGGGTAGAAGCCCGTCCATTGTGGTGGTGGAACTTCAGAAGCCTGCAGGTGGCCGTGGGATCACAGGTCAGTCAAGCCAACTTAAAAATGGACAGTTTAGCCCTGTAACCAGTCATTAAAGAAAAACAAATAGGTTTTTAAATTTTAGTATTGTAATAAGAAAAATTAGAATACAATTTATCTAACCTGAGACCCCAAATAATTTCACAAATAGGAAAATACATCAATTGAACAATGAAAATGTGTTATATAAGCAATAAAAAATAATTTGAAAATAAACACAGTTTGTATGCACCATGTAACCAAAACCTGACCCTTTTTTTTTTTTAATCCTCAAGGACATTTTTTTCATTGCTTTTAGAGAAAGCGGAAGGGAAGAGAAGAGAGAGAGAAAGAGAGAAACATCGATTGGTTGCCATCTCCTATGCACCCTGGTCAGACATCTAACCGGAAACCCAAGCATGTGCCCTGACCGGGATCAAACACGGGACCTTTTGGTCTATAGGATGATGCGCCAACCAACTGAGCCACACTGGCCAGGGCAAAAATTGACCTCTTAAATGTTTTCACTTTGTAATTTGTAAAAAATCCTCATCCAAGGATATTTATTACCGATTGGAGGGAGAGGGGGAGAGAGACATTTACAAGAGAGAGAAACATCAGTTGGATGCCTCCTATACACACCCCAACTGGGGATTGAACCCACAACCTAGGTCTGTGCCCTGACCAGGAATCGAACCTACAACTTCTTGGTGTATGGGATGATGCTCCAACCAGCCGAGCCACGTGGCCAGGGCCACTTTGGAATTTCTTGAGTAAAGGCAGCCCTTCCTGCTGTTTGGGAACAGCGTGAGGACTGGTGGTGACTGTCTGTTTTGCCAGACTGCTGCCCCGAGCCCTCTCCTTGTCCTTCCTCCTCCTAGTCCTGCTGTGGCCATTCTGGCCCTTTCTGGGAAGCCAAGTGCCTGTGAGCACTTAGCTGGCAGGGCTCTGCGGCAGGGTGCTTTTTCTGTTCCTCTTTCTGAGTGGTGTTCTTGTGAACATTTTCAGTATTAGAGGACAGATGACAATGTTTCGGGGTCACAAAGGGGAGAGGTGCTGCCAGACATGTGCGTGTGGTGGGGGGAAATCTGTCCAGCAGAGAGTTTCTTCCCAGGGAAACCCAAGTCAAGCAAACGTGCGTGACTGCCCTTTCCGAGGCTTTGTTTTGAAGGCCTTTCAGTTCTTATGTAGAAGGAATGATGTTTGTGTGCCAACCACATTGCATGTAACATCTCATCCTATGCTCACGAGGAGTACCTTTAGTATTTCCTGAGGCTTCTAAAGGTGAATAATTCTGTGCAGTTCACAAAAACAAAACCTTGGCCTGGCCGGGTCACAAGTGTCAGTTTTTTTGAGACAATGAAATAGCAAGAACAAGTATGTCCACAATAAAGTACGCTGTTGTGCCAGATCCAGGGTGGTTTATGTGGCTATACTGATTTTGTCCAAATAGCCTCTTGAGCTCACTGGAAGCACTGAGAGTGGGCAAGAACATAATGGCCAATGGACGGCAGACCAGGGATCTAAATGACAAATAGCTTGGGCAAGTCATTTAACCTCTCTGGGCTTCAGTGCCTAGTCTATAAATCGAGAAAATTAGACCCAGATGGACCCAAAAAGGTCCCATTTTTTTAAAACTTGGGGATGATGATTTTTTTAAAGTTAAGATATAATTCACATACCATATAATTCAGCCATTTAAAGTATACAATTCAAGCCCTGGCTGGTGTGGCTCAGTGGATTGAGTGCTGGCCTGTGACCAAAAGGTTGCTGGTTTGGTTTCCAGTCAGGGCACATGGCTGGGTTGCGGGCTGGGTCCCTGCTTAGGGGCCTGTGAGAGGCAACCCACCAATCAATGTTTCCCTCTCACATTGATGTTTCTCTCCCTCTCTTTCTCCCTCCTTTCCCCACTCTCTAAAAATAAATAAACAGAATCTTTTTAAAAAAGCTATATTAAAGTATACAATTCAAAACACAGAAAAATAAGAAAAGTATATTCACTGAGTTTGCAGCCATCACCACGATCAACTTCAGGCCATTGTCATCATTCCAGAAAGAGCCCCTGCGCCCTCTGGCTATCACTCTGCAGCCCTCTGGCCTTCCACAGGCCTGAACCGCCGCGGACTTGCTTTCTGTCTGTACAGATGTCCCTGTTCCGGACAATTTTATAGAAATGGAATCATATATTGGTGGCCTTTTATGTCTGGCTTCTTTCACTTGGCATAATGTTTCCAAGGCTCCTCCATGTTGTCAGCACCCCATTACCGCACGGCATTCTGCTGTATGGACGTGCCACATTTTATCATTCCTTTGCGATGGGCACTTGGGTTGTTTCCAGCCTTTGGCTCTTGTGAATAGTGCTGCTATAAATGGTCACAATCATACAGGTTTTTGTGTGGGCATACCCTTACTCTCCATTCTTTCGGGTATGTACCTTGAAGTAGAAATGCTACGTCAAATGGTAACACTATGTTTACCTTTGTGGGAAGTAATAGGCTGTCTGTCCAAAGTGGATGCACCATTTCATATTTCTACCAGCAGTATACAAGAGTTCCAATTCCTCCCCATTCTCAACAGCACTTGCTGTTATCTGAATTCTTAATTACTGTATAGTATAGTGGGTGCAAAGTAGTATTTTCATTTTGGTTTTGATTTGCATTTCCCTGATACCTAAGGATGCTGAGCAGCTTATCATGTGCCTATTGGCTATATGCGTGTGTTTAAAGAAATGTCTGTTTAGATCCTTTGCCCATTTTTTGAGGATGAGCTTTTGAATTGACTTTTATGAAGCTAGATGCTTACTCTAGAAGCTGAAGTTCAAAGGAGAAGATAAAAATAAAATTATAGCCCTGGCTGATGTGGCTCAGTAGGTTGAGTGCCAGCCTGCAAACCAAAGGGTCGCCAGTTCCATTCCCAGTCAGGGCACAGGCCTGGGTTGTGGACCAGGTCCCCAGCAGGGGGCCCTCAAGAGGCAACCACGCATTGATGTTTCTCTCCCCCTCTTTCTCCCTCCCTTCCCCTCTCTCTAAAAATAAATAAGTGAAATATTTAAAATAAAATAATATATAGTTTATGCAATTTATTGGGAATCTGTTATAATTCCTTTGTAGGCCAGTTATGTCAGTATTAGTAGCGCCAGTATTGGTCAAGTTGATCTTCCCTATGTGCCTGCCTGGTTTTCTTAGCAGCAACTGGTGTTTCTCCGGAAATGAATGATGAGATTTGGGCCAGAGTCTAAGGAGAGAAGGACCATTTAGTGGTGGATGGAACCCTTCTCGGGCACAACTGCTTTACCTAACTGTGTAAAGCTGAGAGCTTAGAAGAGTCAGCATGGCTGGCTTCCGGCCAAGATGGAGGCATAGGTAGATACACTTTGTGTCCTCACACAACCAAAATAAGGACAACAAATTTAAAAACAAAAAATAACCAGAACTGACAGAAAATTGAACTGTATGGAAGTCCAACAACCAAGGATTAAAGAAGAAGTATTCATCCAGACCAGTAGGAGGGCAGAGAGGATGTACTGCAAGGTGGCGGCTGGAGGACCAGGTGGTCCCACATTTGCATGCATCTAAACCAGGAGGAATGGCTGAGGAGTGAGACAGACTGTGCAACCCAGGGTTCCAGTGCAGGAAAAGAAAGCCTCAAAACCTCTTGCTGTAAAAACCTGTGGGGGCTGTGTGGCAGGAGAAATTCCCAGCCTCACAGGAGAATCTGTTGGAGAGACCCACAGGGTTCTAGAATGTACACAACCCCGCCCACCCAGGAATCAGCACCAGAAGCGACAGATTTGCTTGTGGGTAGTGGAGGAAGTGACAGAAAGCTGGCTGAGAGCTGAGCAAGCAGCATTGTTCCCTCTTAGACCTCTCCCCCCGACACAGCGTCACAACACAGAGACTTGGGTTGCCCTGCCCTGGCAAAAACCGAAGGCTCTGCCCCTTGCAAAGTAACA